TGGAAGTTCGGCGAACCATATCTGCTTTTTTCTCACATATATCTGAATTATGGCAAACTGGTATAGTTCGGTGATCCTACCTTCGTCGGTTCTTCCGTGGAGTTTTGGACGGGGTTCCGTTGACGCATCAGTTCGTGAGAATGCATCAGTTTTCAATGTTTTCACCTCTTGCAAAGAATTTGAGTACGGTGCAAAAAGAATTTTTTTTCACTTCCAACCATTATAAAAAAAATAGAAAAGCATAACTCTCAATTCAAGGAAAACAACAGATTAAATGCATATGTTGTAAATCATTCTTATTTCAATTAATTGAAAGGGTGCAGAGCTCCCGAATGTATAGATTGTAGGTATACATTGGCACAAGGTCCGGGTTCTCGATATGGTGACCTCCATAAAAGAAATGATTCTTCATTTATGCACCATTTCTAGAGAGCACAAGGATAAAAAATATTTGCTCTAGAATGGAATACGAACATTAAGGGAAGAGGTATGCCACAAAAAAGAATACAACAATAATATAAAAATTTGATGAAGAATGTAAAACAAATCATCCTCCAACATAAGATCTTGGTATATAACAATACTGTCATACTAAAAACAATATAACACTAACACTAATAAAGACCATAAAACAATTATATCATCCCACATAAGTATTATTTTATCTGATTTAAAATGACTGCCAATCAATTTATTTCTATTGGTTAATTCAAACGTAGAACTTTTTCCTACATCCTCAGAAACCGTATCACTCCTTGGACATTCATCATCCAAACTAATTCTGTCAGTTCAAAATAATCATTGAGGCAAAGGAAAAAAATAACTTAAAAGATCGAGATATACAATCATGTGCACCCACCTGATTAATTCCAGCTTTTTGCAACTCCAAATCAGCAAGTTGGTACTGGTGCATAACCCAGGTACTCCTCTGGCCTTTTGGAGCTCGGCCAATGTGATAAAAAGAGTTTTCTTCATTCCCATCTGATAAAAAGTTTCATCCACAACAAGTATAATAACATGAATCTAGCTGTAGTTGCTTCTCCTTTAAAGTAAGAAATTTCAACTTTTTTTTTTTCCAAATTGATGACAACAAATCTATTGGTTTGCCTCATTCACTTTAATTTTCACTAAATCACAGAACTTTCATCTCAAACGAAAATTTTCAACATATTATAATATTGAAAATCAATAAATGAAGTAATCGTTTACATAAAATAAAACCAAAGAGGGCAAAGGAAAAAAATCCAAACCATATTTCAAGCTTAGCAGACATGAAAGGGCACGAGAGTACATTAGAAAAGATTAACTTCTATTTTTTCCTCAACAGTATCGAGTCTTATCTAGTGTACTAAACTTCCACTAACTGGTCTCAAAGGATTTTGAACTACGCAATAGAATCAAAATTCTCTTAGATCCCTATTAAAATTTTTACTTTTGCCAGTTCTCAAATTGTGGTCAGAAAGCAACTAACTTCACAAAAACACGTTGTGTTTCCATGCATGAAAAGAAAACTATATCCATTTTCAGTAGGGAAAATAAGTTGCAGAACCCAATAAATTAGAAGTCATTCAAGAAATTTTACATAAGTTTGAATATAGATATTAGTACAACATATCTGTAAAATAAGCAGCCTTAGAGCCGAGCTTGACAGGGTAAAAACCCAAAAGGATTACTTATAGAACAATTCATCAAAGCAAGATCATAAATGTGTGCTACCAAATGAATTACAGTAATGAAAAAGATAAAT